CGAGAGTACTTCCCCCCATAGATCCATCATCACCCTGATAATCATCATACCCAGCACCATCTTCGTTGTCCTCCTCTTCTTCATCCTCATCTGTTTTATCGTCTTCAACGTCGTCTTGCTCATCTACGGCCTCATTATTTCCATCTACATTTGAAGCCGCTACAATGGGATTTGGTGTCGTTGCACTCCCACACACACGGTAACTCTCACCATCGTCACCAGCGGTCCTAGGGACAATATTCCCGAGTGCCTTGACGGTTGTAATGAAAGAGACAAACAAGGTGACACTAGGATCCCACCACGAATCAAAAAGAAGGTATCCAGGCTCATTTGATTGTCAATATTGACAGGAGGGCGTTTAATTTCTATCATCACTGACATATTTCCCGGCATCCAGTTACTAATTATTGGATTGCATTCGGTGGACTTCGAACTGAAAACCTCGGATAATGTACGTACAAATTCCGTGTACGTCATGTTTTCTTTAACACGTACACAACGACCAAACCAGTCTTTCCATGGTTCAAATTACCATTCTTCTTCTTTGCATCTTCACTCACCCATCATAGTAAATACGGGAATATCCATTACACACCTGTATCATAAATTCAGCAGAACCCCATTAAATACAAATGAAAACATGATTATATCTACAAAAAACAAAAAGAATTCCCAACTACACACTTATATACATAAATCTATCCTCATTTAGCATTTTCAACTAAAAAAATTAGAAATAAAAATATTCTGGGTTTTTATATAAAAACAATGTTGATTTCGAACACAATCAAGACCCTAGTGTGTTATAACAAAAAACTTCTTAACCAATTTCATTACTTACACGATCAATGCTTGTCTTGGCTCCAAGCTTTGTAAATCAAGAAGATCAAAACTTCTCCAGCATCACATTCGTTCAGACTAATTTGTTTGTTTGATGGATCATGTTTATCTCTTACAACTATTCACACATATAAACTAATATTAGAAAAAGTAATGATGCCTTTTGCATTAATTATGACATGAGTCATGTCTAAACTTTTTGGGCATTAAATACTGATGTCTCATTGTTTTTTAATGTTATTAATCCCTATTTTACTGTGCAGCCGCAGAAATTAAAACGAAAATATATTGCCTAACCGGAACAGTGTACGTAACTAAACCGCATAACTAAACCGTACAGTGAACAGTACATCGTTACGCTGGCAGGGGTAAAATGGTCAGAATTTGGCTAAAGTGTCAAAATTTGAGAACTAATTCTCACTTTGCCAAACCATGAAAATAAAAGTTGGTCTTCTGCCCTGCCATGCAATTTACCCAAAAATGTAAGAGAAAGAATACACACTAATTAAAGATATGGCACATGGCAGAATTGGGTCTTAAAATATTTATTTTGTTCTTTCTCACACCTCCATGAGTTGCCATTAAGAAGCTTTCATGCAGATTTTAGCCATAAATCGAAGTTCTATTATATATAAACTGTAACAAAAAAAAAAAAACCTAAGTTCTATATAATTGAAGTTATGATAAAATTCTTTTTTAATGTAAATGCAAACCGCATATCCTAATTATTTATCTAAAACTGTTGGATCACCTAGTGTATACATACATTTACAATGCATATGATATGTATGGAAGAAGTATCAACACATTCAGCAAAAATTAGATTTGCATATCCACCTTTTAGATTTGCATATCCACCTTGTCTTCTACGGCCAAAGAATAAATAGCGTCAAGGAATGACAAACTAACCTTAGTAAAAGTTAGATAAATCCTCGAAAGACAATGTTTAAGAAAATTTGTATTTGTAATATAATAATTTCTGAATTTCCCAGTTTAACAATTTGAAAGAAAAAGTTGCAATTTTATCGTTATAATGTCAAAAGAGAAATACATGATTATTTATGGAATTCAAATAATTTGTTGTGGATTAACAAATCTTTTCACCTGTTCTGCTTTATTGCCAAAACCTTGCTGTCATCTCGATGTCTTATATATATATATATATTTCCATTTTCTTTAAATTTGACCTCTTTTTAGAAATTTGAATCAATTATGAATTTGCCATTTTTCTGGAGCGGCATTTGCCAATTTTGCTAAAATCTTATAGATTTGCCATTTTTAAAGTATAAAGATAATGATTTAACATATATTTTACTCGTTATGTTTGAATTTAGTCGATTCTAGATATTTTTAAAATTTAGTATTTATTATAAAGTACGTATTTTAGCAGATCCATAATGTTCAAAAATGACAAATCTATAAGATTTTAGCAAAAATAGCATAAATTTGCTTAAGAAAATGGCATTTTCTGTAAGAATCCCTAGAAAAGATTGAATCGACAAGAAACCTAAAATGAAGTATAATTTCAGCTTTATGAAAATGATTTTATCCCAAAAAAGGCTATATGAAAATGAGAAGATGACACGATAGTTTGGAAGTTGCTTTGCAATGGCCGATACATAATACCTAATGGTTAACATAACTCTGAAACTATTTTTTCAGATTTAAAAATAAAAGTTGCTTTGCAATGGCCGATACATAATACATAATGGTTTATATACATATGCATTTGTGGTTTATGACTTAATTAGTTTTAGATGATCAAGAAATTCAAAGGATGCTAGAGATATTTGACCTAATATGATACCAATTAAAGCTTCCATATCTTCTCCTTCTTGTATGGCAGATAGTTGTTGGCAGGTCCCCTTTAAAGTTTAAAGTATTTCGAAATTGGTTCACTTCTTCAACAGGGTTTATTTTTGTAAAATACTTTGTAGGCATTCGTTTCTTTAATTAAGAAAACCGTTTAACAAAAAAAAGAAAAGAAAAGAAAAAAAGAAGAAGAAAAAATAACAAATTAAAAAATATTTCAGAATTCAGTGCTTAGAACTTTTCTTTAAAATTATGAACCCCTCTTTTATATATTCAACAAGAGTTTATGAGAGAGTTAATTTCTAATATTATTCTCTAAAAGTTGAAATGGTTGAAGAAAAAACCTAAAATGGTTATTTTTTTAAGGGCCCATTTTCAATAGTAAATAACGAACGTGTACGAATTAAATAATCATCCATATAAAAACCTTCAAAATGTCTAAAATCTTATCACTGAATCTGTCTAACAACTATAATCACAAAAAAATTTCACGAGAAATGACGTAGCAATAATCTTTTGCTTGGCTTGAGAGTCTTGTGAGACTTTTGATTCATCTCTCTTCATCATTCACTGTCTTTATCTTTTAGGTTATAAAATTATTTTTTCTTACATTAAAAAAATAAAACTAAAGTCTAAAGTGCACAACTATAAGTCTAGCTAAGACTACTTACTTCCCCACTAAGTACGAGTGACTATTTTAAATTTTAAAGTTCTCATGATTCCAATTTAAGAATACTCGTAATTGAAGACATCAAACTTAGGCTTCAAGCAACTCCCACTCTCCCAGAGTAGAGGAAAATATGATTTCATTTATTTCTACTACATTATAAAATGGACATGAAACAAGGCCCATAATGTCCACTAGACTAAGTTTGACACATATATTGTAAAGGGCTTAAGGCTCACCTATATATAGGGCCACACAATTCATATACAATATGTAGTTTTTAGTTACGTTTAGAAAGCTCAATTGTGCAAGTGTACAAGTACAACGTTTGGCAGCTACGAATCTAGAATATGTATATAAAAAATTCACTGTATAGTAAAGTCAAAACTAGAGTTTTCACTTCTTATAAAGACTTTTATCAACGAAACATGTAATTCATCCTAGCCATGGATGAGATTAGTCAAAAGATGTTGTTTTTGAAACGTATTCAAGAGGTTTTATCAGTGACGTCTTGAGATTAGTGAAGATAATTTAATATCAATGCAAATAAAGAAAGAACAAAAAAAGTAAGTTAGGAGACCAAAAATGAAAACAATAGGTTTAGAAAGTTTTAAACAACTAAAATAGAAAAATCAGAACTAAAAGTCATAACACACAAAATAACAATCAAAGAAATAACAAACTATCAAGAATATAGAGAGAGAAAATGAAATAGAAAAATCAGAACTAAAAGTCATAACACACAAAATAACAATCAAAGAAATAACAAACTATCAAGAATATAGAGAGAGAAAATGAAAGAAAAAAATATGAAAACAAAAAATATACGAAAATTTACGGACGTGAAAAGATAGATGGAATCAATGAAAGATATGCGAAAACAAAAACTCAAAATGGTAAAAATGAACTAAAGTACGAAGAACAAATAAATATTCAAAGTAACAATAGATGGAAGAGATACTAGGCTCATAAACAAAAAGAAATATATATATATATATATATATATTTATTTACAATACAAAATATTAAAAAAAATCAGCAAGTATCACCGGTTCTCTTCTAGTCAATATGTAAATAATCTAGAGAAATTCTCTAAAATAGTACTAAAACAAGTTTTGTGGACAAATTCTCTAAAATAACAAATTCTCTATCTCTCTCTCTATCAAAGCAATTGCACCGTTAAATCAGTGACAAATAAACTCGATGATGTAAAGTTATTTTATTTGGGTATTGTCACTATATTATTCTAAGTAAATAATATGTGATTATATTTAGTGTATGGCTCAATAAAAAAATAATCTGTAAGTTTTCTAAATATGATTTAGGTTAAAAATGGTTTTGATGAACTTAGTGAATCAAACCCACACTGAAAAGAAAACAAAAACATAAAATAATAATTTAAAACGATTTTTTATTCATCAATTTGAAATTCTAAACAACGGTATACTTTTTTACAAGTTAAATTTGATATCTAAAATTAAAATAAATAAATATTTAATGTCAAATAAAATTTGAATACATATACTAGTTATTCACCTAGTAATTGAAAAATTGTCAATCATTTCAGAACATCTACTTATATGTAGAATATGTCTTCTATTTTGTTACAGTTTTCAGTTATGATGATCATCTACATGCACACGCAACTAAATCAGAACAATTATCCATAAAAACAAAATCAAATTAGTTATCTATGCTCAACATCTATTTCAATTTTTTTTTATGATTCACAACAGTCTTATTTATTCGAAAATAATAAAGGATAGATCAATATCAATAATATAAGGTATGCTATATCCATAAATGATATATAACACACTGTATCAATAATTTAAAGACGGAGCTCAGTTTTTTCCTTTTCAACTTTAATCTTCTCCTTTAATTCATTGAGGTAGAGTTTGCGTAGTTCAATTTGCCACTTTAATTTTTGGATAATACCAAATCCACCTCTCACTGGATCCTTTTTCCAAGCATCACCTTCCATGAGTATGGACGATGCCAACATGTCTTGGTTTTCGATGAGTTTGGACGATTCGAACGATGCCAACATTTCTTTGTTTTCGATGAGTATGGACGATTCCAACGATGCCAACATTCCTTTGTTTTCGTCTTCGGACACGAGCCTCATCATCTTCATAATATTTGGTGTACCAAATAATTTATGTGCACTTTCAAATTCACCGAGTCTATTAGAAAATAAAATCAAAATTGATTAGTATTGATAACTAATTTTATTTATCATGCGTATAATAAAAAGAATTCGCAAAAATATGTATATATGAAAGAAAATAAATACTTTTCTGCTGGGAAATATGGTGCAAATTCACAATTTTTGGGGCATCTTTTGTTTTTGGTGGTGCATAGAGCACAAGGAGCACGATTAACATTGACTCTGGAGGCATCCATAACAATTATTTTTTTTTTTGTAAATAAAAATTCAATAAACTTGGTAATTGGAAGATGAATGAAAAACAATCTTGAAGACAAATTTATATATAAATCTTTGGAAAATGTAGTCAATTTTTTTTATTAAATTTCCAAAGAAAAAGATAAGTCTAGAAACTTAACAACTCGTTCTTTTTCTATTTTGGAAATATCTTGAGATTTCGTTTGACTTTAAATTTATTAGGATAAATATATAGATATATTGCTCTAATCATAATACATACATACTAATTTTACAATCATAGAAACTTAAATATTTTTATCCAATCACATGAGTAAAGAACACATATTACGCCGACAAATGTTTTCATAACAATTAATACTATTTAATAATGATGACAAATCACAAAATTTTCACATCATCATTTATTTATATTGCTATAATTATATATATATACTAGTTTCCAATCATAGAAGCTAAACTATTTTTATTAATCATATGAGTAAAGAACACCTATTACGCTGACAAATGTTTTCATAATAATTGATCAATACAATAAAAATACTAAGATTCTCTCTAGCAGTGACACATCAGCTTTTTGAGTTTTTTTTTGGAGTGACACGTCATTAAAATTTTATCCCAATCAAAACATTTCAATTAATACACATTATCTTTCTAACTTGTATATCATCTTTTTTTATTACTAAAACATATCATTTTAAAAAAGACAATCAATCAAATTAAAACAAATAATACACAATAATTTTAAATTGTTTTATAATGACACATGGATTTTTAATTTGTCCAAAAAAAATTAAATTATATATAAAGTAAATACACATCAACTTATGTTGACACATAAACAATTTTTTGTTATTTTTCTTATCAAACAAAGATTTTCAGATATTTAAATGTAAACTTTATATCTATAGTTTCTTTTACATAAACATATTTTTAGTCGTTTACCATAAATGTTTTGACTATATAATTCAACAATCAACATGTTCCGATTCAGTTTACAAAAATATATATATAAAAAAATCTTATTTCACAAAGATTAACATTATAACCAATTTTCAATTTTTTCAAACGGAAATTCACCTGACGAACCAAATATATCACCACAAGATATTTTATCGTTCTATTTTCACTCACAAAATACTTAAAATCATTTTCTATTTATCTTGAAATCATTCCAACTGAAAAATATTAAATATTTATAGTGACTTACATTAAAAAAAAAAAAAAACAGTGTATTTTGATGATATAGGTAGTCAATAAATTTTTATAAATTCTCTTCATCCACCATGATGTTCCACAAACCAGGTTTATTCGTAGCACCTCTACTAAAAAAGTGCAACGTTTTTGTTGCACATCAAAATTGTCACATATGATGGTGTGAAGCCACGTGACTCAACAATCGTCTATATTAAAACTCTGATACGAGTCATGTTGGGTACAAACCAACGTCCCACATCGGAAGTTTAGAAAAGAAGTTTCTAATATATAAGTAAAGTCCAACTCCAATTAGTATGAGGCCTTTTGGGAATGGAGCCCAATAACAAATCTGTGCGGGCTTGAGCATGTAGGCCCAAAGCGGACAATATCATACTAATGGAGGAGTTGGAATGGGCTTGTAAAGCCCAATAAATGGTATCAGAGCCTAGGTTAAAAAATGTGGACCTAGGGGTGTGGGCTAAAGTTTGGTGTGGGAGAAGCCCTCAAATGTGACACGATAAGTATGTGCCTCAAAAACTTCGTGAATAAGAAAGTACCGAGTTAGGGTGCCTAGGTTTCGCTGAAGAGGAGGCCCAATGTTCGTGGTCCTTGGTTTGAAGGGGAGATTGTTGGGTACAAACCAACGTCCCACATCGGAAGTTTAGAAAAGAAGTTTCTAATATATAAGTAAAGTCCAACTCCAATTAGTATGAGACCTTTTGGGAATGGAGTCCAATAAAAAATCCGTGCGGGCTTGAGCATGTAGGCCCAAAGCGGACAATATCATACTAATGGAGGAGTTGGAATGGGCTTGTAAAGCCCAATAAGTCGATCCGTTCGTGATTCTTGGGCCTTACCCTTAAAGTCCATGTTTTAAAAATGTTTGAGCCTATGATGATGTTTGCACTTATGAGGTCTTTTGTGTGAAACCAAATCTCAATAACATTCTGGTTCAAACCAAATCTCTATGGTATTGACCTATTGGTATGACAATCATTTTGAATATGAAAAACTCCACTATTGTTTTACTACATATGCTTTTCTTAAACTTTTTTTTTATACTCCGCGAGGAGCCAAACGGGCGCCAAACTAAACTTGTTTTTGTGGTCCACTAATTAATTGATAAATTAAGAAAATTGTTTGAGAAAATGGTGACCACCTAAATAGTAGCAATGTGACATTTGTATCCCCCATGATACAAACTTCTAAACAACTTTCTACTAGTAATTTTGTGTTCACCGTCTTTGGGTACATGCACGCTCAACCTTTTCCAGCTAAGACTCAAGGCCGGTCTTTGTTAACATGGCTAAATTTGTTGTAGGTTTGGGAAGCTACAAATGATTAGAACCGTATCAAAACATGTACCGCTTATTTTGGACCGATTTTTATTTACCATTCATAAATTATAGTTCGTCGTATTTTGAACCGGAAAAAATAAAAACAAAAAATTTATCGCGGACCAACTATATACCATTTTTACATAGAAATAAACTTGGTACACCGTGGATTATTGTTTGCTCCAAAAAAGAGAGTAGTGTATTCCGTAATGGTTTACTCTGCTTCGTCCCCAACATCCATTTTAAGACTGTAATTGTGTAAACATTAATAGCTTCACTTGATTCATTGTATTTTATTCGAGTTCTAGATATATATAACTACTATAAAACAAGTGCTTAACATCAATTATTCGGCATCGTGACAATATTGATGCTAACATAAAAGCTTCACTACAAAATAAATTTTAACATAATTTTTTTAATGTTGGTATCGCTTTTAAAACGATGCTAGAGTTTTAGAGTCACTTCTATAACCGGTACTATAACTTCTATAACATGTATATGCAGTTATCTCAAACATATAGTTTATTAGAGACTAAACACTAGCGTTACTTGAGATTTTAATTGACAAAATGAGTAATTAAACTATAGCCCCTGAGGCATGGAGATATGCTCTAAGATTTGTAAAGATTCAAGAGAGATTCTTAGTTACGTCTTGAATGAACTTTAGAAGAGCAACGTGCGAAGATCCACCGTCCATTAAAGCTACGTGACTCTTGTCACTCATCTCCTTCACTCTACTCCTCACGTCACTATCCTGCTCCATCAAACACCGGATCCCTCTCTCTATCTCCTCCGCCGTCATCAACTCCGAGTCCGCCGCCATGAAATCTCCCCGGAAACTATTTCGGATCTCCACCGCTAGCCCTAGCTCCTCCACCATCTCGAACGCGTTAACTTGTTGCTCTGCGTAAAGCGGCCACGTGGCTATCGGAACTCCGAACCATAGACTCTCTAGTGTCGAGTTCCATCCACAGTGTGACACGAATCCTCCGATCGCAGGGTTTGCTAGAATGGCGCTTTGTGGAGCCCAACCGATAATCTTACCTATCTCCGCCGTGCGTTCTAAGAATCCTTCCGGGAGAATCTCCTCAAGATTCGTAAATTCTCCGGGAGGTCCCATCGTTCCTTTTGGCTGAGCACGACGAAGAGACCAGAGAAAACGGTGACCACTTCGCTCTAGCGCGATTGCGATTTCTTTAGCTTGATCCTCACGGAAACCTCCCATGCTTCCGAAACAGAGGAACACAACGGATGTACGTGGCTGCTCGTCTAGCCACCTTAGGATCTCCGATTGCTTATCGTCAGATGATTTTGGACCGTTGATTTTAAGATTCATAACCGGTCCCACTGTGTACACCGTAGGAAGAGGACTATCTACGCCGGAGAAAAACTTCATAGCTTGAGGCTCAAGCTCAGCGAACGTATTTACCAAAATACCCTTAGTTTCTCGGAATCTTCTGGTTTGGCTAAACATAACCGGTAACCACTCCTTGGTTAACAGAACCGAGGGAAAACACTTAACCGGTAAAGGACGAGTCAAACAAGGAACTTCCAGCTCAGTAGTGTCCGAGTCCTTCAGGTCACTGACGTCATAGTTCTTAACGTCGTAAAGGTACTGAACATGAACTTGCAATCCAAGAAACGTTGCGTTGGAGGTGTAAAACATGTAACTAGGAACACCAAACTCGTTGGCGACATCAATCATCATCATGCAGAACATATCCACCACGAATCCAGCAATCCGCGGCGGCGACTCTGGTTGAGCCGGGTCGGTAAGTTTTTCCACCGTGGCTTTTACCTGCGGCTTAAAGCCATCGATGTAGTCGAAGAAATGTGGTTTGGAGTCATCGGAGGCTGGTTTATCAGCTACGGAGAGAACGTTGTACCGAAGACGTTCTTCAGAAGCAGAGGAGAGAGAAGCGATGTAAGAGGAAGAGTTACCGCTACTAAAACCATGCATCTGAGGGATGATAATGATGGTGATGGAGAGATGATCGTCACGGTCGACAAGAAGCTTAGCCACCTCCACTAATGGCCGGAGATGTCCGTCACCAGGTGATGGTATGAACACCAGCTCCATTTTCATTTTTCAAAATAATTTTTTCTTGTAGCAAATTGGCAATTGATTTTCCTATTGAAAGTTGAAGCTGTACGTTACGGTGAAGCGATAAGACTCGTCTATTGCATACATGACATGTGGTGCTTGGACATCTACTAATTTCGTTTGACTTTCGTCACAGACCATACAATATTGATCTTTAGAATTCAAAGTTACGTTTATAGTTGGGCTTATATATTTCCTAATTATGTTTAAAAAACTGTCTATTTTTCAACTTAACCCTTAATTCATTGATATTTTGTTGGCATTTATATATAATTGTTTCTCGAAATATCATATATGTGGTGGGATGATAAAAGACAAAGACACGACGTGTAACAAACATACTCTCTTTTTGGTCCACATAATGACCTGTCCAAGAAACGTACTCCACTCCCCTACCTTCTCGATTACTGATGCGAAAATAGCAAAAAGCAAGCGTCAGCCTTTCGATATAACACTATTTAAAATGTGAATTGTTATTTAGAATTCACATGATGTAGTTGTTTCTTATTTTTGTGGATTGAGGTCAGCATTGAACTTAATTAAGGTGGGTTCGAGATTTAGTATCCTTCACTCTCTTCTGACTTTTTTTTAGATTTTGAAACAAATTTTGGATTCATGACAAAATCTTGTTTTGAAAGATTGATGTTCTATCTATCACTAGTGATCACTGTTAGATCATATAATGAAATCATAGTTTGATAAATTCAGATAATTCATGCACATATTGTGATTATTCTTTGCGGATAACAAAATATAAGAGATATAGATGAGCCATAAACTGCATTTATTTTCTTACCCAAACGTAAATTGCATTGTTTTGCTTAATAGACAAAAGTACACGTAACTATTATTGTACTTTTATACTCGTGACTTTGTTGTCTTCAATTATTTGATTATTTCATTATAGTTTTAAAAAGTTCCCATTATATCACAAAACATCCGACCACTTTCCTATTGAACATTATCGACCACGTCTTGAACAAACTTCTTTAGAGCACAGTTTGAAGATCCACCGTCCACCAACGCCACGTGGAGCTTATCCTTCATCTCCATTACCCTCTTCCTCATCTTGCGCCTATCCTGCACCATCGCACACTTGATTCCTCTCTCTATCTCCTCAGCCGTCACAATCTCCGGCTCCCCCACCAGAAAATCTCTACGATACTCCTTCCTCACCTCCGCCGCTAAACCAAGCTCCTCCACCATATGAAACGCGTTAAACTGTTGCTCAGCATAGATAGGCCAGGCAGCCATCGGAACACCGAACCATAGACTCTCAAGAATCGAGTTCCATCCACAATGTGTCACGAACGCACCTATCGCAGGACTCTTTAGCACATCTACTTGTGGTGCCCAGCTTATGATCTTCCCTATCTCCACCGTCCGATCTAAAAACCCTTTTGGAAGAATGTCCTCTAGATTCGTGAATTCTTCGGGAGGAGCATTAGTCATGTTTTCCACCAGAGAAGCGCGGCGAAGCGACCAGAGAAACCTGTGGCCGCTTCGCTCGATCGCCACGGCTATTTCTCTTGATTGTTCCTCACTAAAACCTCCCATGCTCCCAAAACAGAGGAACACTACAGATTTTTTCGGTTGCTCTTTTAGCCAACGTAAAATCTCCTTTCTCTTCTCATCGTCGCCGCTAGTTTCGAAGTCAATTATGGGCCCAACAGCGTAAACCGGTGGAGTATTCGTATTCCCATTCTCGCCGGAAAAGAACTTCAACGCCTGAGGTTCCATCTCCGCCACCGAATTTACCAAAATACCCTTCGTTTCTCTAAAACTTCTAGCTCGACCCACAACGTAAGGAAACCATTTACTGTCTAGCATGACTGAAGGCAAACATTTCGCCGGAAAAGGCTGAGACAGAGTTGGAACGTCAAACTTCACGTCTGAGTCTTTTAACTCACTTACGTCGAGTTTTTTCTCATCGTAAAGAGATTGAACATGGAACTGTAGCCCGAGATAAGAAGCGTTCGACGTGTAGAAGATATAAGCCGGGAAGTTAAAATCGTCGGCGATGTCTATCATCGACGTGCAGAACATGTCCACGACAATCCCAGCTAGCCGCGAGTCTGAACGTGTTGAAACGTCTCGGGCGAGTTCGGACACGGCGTCTGTCACTTGTGGTTTACGGCTGTCGATGTAAGATACAAAAGTATGCTCAGTTGATTGATCTCCGGCGGGGAGGAGGATGTAGCGGAAACGGTCTTCGGACTTCGCGTAGAGGGAGGAAGACGCATCTCCGGAGAATTGTGAAGGGATGACGATGAGAGTGACGGAGAGGCGGTCGTCGCTGTCGACGAGAAGCTTTGCTAACGCCGTGGTTGCTCGGATATGGCCCACGCCCGGCGAAGGTATGAACACAAGTTCGATTTTCATGGCGGCGACTTTTGTTTCGACTTTTCGAATTGATAGTGTGGGCCTGTCACAAAAGAGATGATAAAAGTTTGTCGTATGTTTTTAACCCATACTACTACTTTATAGTGCTTCTTGAACTATGTACAGTATAATCCCATTTTCTCACAACAATTTAGAAAATTAATGAATTGTAAGATCATTTAAATAATAAACACTTTTAATAAGTTTTTTATTAATGCTGTTCTATTAATTAGTGAATCTATGGAAAAAAAAAGTAGGCTAGCTATTGAATAATTTCTTGACCAAATAAAAATGTTATTGAATTGATGGTACAAAATAAATAAATAGTTTTTAACAAATTACATGAACACCAAAGCAGAAAACAAGATATGAAATTGATGAATTGTACAAAAATTTAAACATCAAAATAAAGACTTTTATTAATGAAGTTGCATGAATATATTCTATAATTTCAGGTTATCGAATTTCTTGGCGAAAACAAAAAGTAAATTGAATTATGGTACAAATTTCAAAATGAACATTAAAAAAAAAAACAATCACGTGAAAACAATCTTTCAAAGCAGAAAACAATAAATGGTACAGCCCATTAATAAGCTCTTTTGTTATAAGTATAGGCCCATATTGTATGGCCCAAATAAAGCCATTTAATGGGTTTCAGATTTACGGCGAGTCCCCAGATCGTCTCTCCCGACGAGAGGATCCTCTTCGTCGCCGTCGATCGGTTTGGCTTGGTAAATTAGGTACGATTTAGAGCTAATTCTTCTTACGTCTCTTAGTTGTGTCTACGATAATGAATTCGAATTTGCCGGATTTTGTGTCTCTCCGTTGAAAATTGAACATAAGGTGTTCGACGAAATGTTTCTTTTGATTTTCCCATGTTTTGATTCAGATTTATCGAAAGTTCATCACTTTCGATTCTTGTACTCATAGAATCGATAGTTGAGCATAAATCCATAGCTCTGCCTATTTGTTTTCATTTGGAAGATAAGATTGAGTTACCATTTTCATGTGTATTACATTCACTGATTCTTTGTTCTGTGTGTAGATTAATCTCGCTATGTCGAATTGGAGACATAAAGTGTGGAGAAATTTGAGCTCATTTCAAGGATCTTGTTACTCAACTACACCTTCAAGAACCAACAAACTAAAGCTTGATGACCTTAGAAAAATCCGGCCAATGATTCTAAGGAGAATCGAAAATCGAGCAAAAGATTACCCGGTTAAAGAGATTGTTCCTGTAGCTGAAGAAATCCTTATAGCTAGAAAGAATCTACTCAGTAATGTCACTGCGCTTCTTAAAGTGTTTCCTGTCTTGACATGCAAGTAAGTTTCGAGTTCTTTTTCTTCTGAGTTTTAGTAAAGAAAAAGTCTCTGCTTTTATACTGATGTTTGTAAAAATCTTGAAACTTTTCAGATTCTGCTCAGAAGTTTTTGTTGGTAAAGAAGGACACTTGATTGAGACATGTCGTAGTTATATACGTCGTGGTAACAATAGGCTACACGAATGGGTTCCAGGTTCCATAAACGATATACTTGTGCCCGTCGAATCTTATCACTTACACAACATTTCTCAAGGTGTTATCAGACACCAACAGAGGTTTGATTATGATCGTGTTCCCGCAATCTTGGAACTATGTTGTCAAGCAGGAGCCATCCATCCCGAAGAAATCCTGCAATATTCGAAAATTCATGATAACCCGCAAATTTCTGATGAAGATATCAGGAGTTTACCCGCTGGAGATCTCAAATATGTTGGGACAAACGCTCAAATGGCGTGGGAGAAAGTGAGAGCTGGTGTAAAGAAACTATTGCTTGTTTATCCTTCAAAAGTTTGCAAACGGTGCAAGGAGGTTCACGTGGGTCCGAGTGGTCATAAAGCTCGGCTATGTGGTGTGTTCAAATACGAGAGTTGGCGCGGCACTCATTACTGGGAAAAAGCCGGTGTGAACGATTTGGTACCCGAGAAAGTGGTGTGGCACCGGAGGCCTCAGGACCCAGTGGTTCTTGTTGACGAAGGGCGGAGTTATTATGGACATGCCCCTGCTATTGTGAGCCTTTGTAGCCATGCCGGTGCCATTGTTCCTGTAAAATACGCTTGCAAGATGAAGCCCCAAGGTTTATCTTTTTCTTTCACTAATTCAGTTCCAAATCTCGAAACATAGAGAGTAGCTATAACCACTGGTTTTTGTCCGGTTATGTGATTGGTTTGGTCTTTGGCATTACTGTTTATTTTAGAACCAGACCAAGAGAAACTAAATCGAGGCTTTGTAGTCTTTATGTCTATTGGTATTCTCTGTACTAAAACTCCAACCACATGATGTCTGTCTCTTTTGGCGTTTTGGGAATGAATTTCACATGAAATTAACTCCATATTTGATACAAGGTTAATGATAATTTACAGTTTCATAGGTACATACATGTTATCAAAAGCCATGTGAATGATCATAACAAGGTCATTTGATGGGTTCTGCCGTTCTGATTTCTTCTACTTTATACCACATGTAGGGGAGTTTGTTTTGACCTTTAATAGCGGCATAATTTAAACCATATAAATATTAGATTAAAAAGCAAAAAGAAATTACAAAGTGTAACATCTCGACCGTCCCTACCAGTAAGCACCCACATCCTCTCTCGGACATGTGAGCCCTACTTCTGTTTGACAGTTGGTCTATTACGTCTGGAAAGCTTTAAAGACTTCTTGACCGACCCTATAAATCACCATATAATATTTTCCTGAGTTTTGTTCTCACTCATACAGTTCCGACAATCACTTCTCGGAATGTCACCCATCCGGAAATTGCTCCAGTTCAAGTTAACTGTAGAGTTCTCTCAAGACGTTTGACCAAAAAGATAAGCGCACTTTGGTAACATAGGTGGCTAAATCAATTCTTTTAAACATCTCCGCATGAACCACCATATTCCTGAAACCGGGGTGTTACACAAAGCAGCTTCCAACCCCTTGACCAATATGTTTAAACAAATAAACCGAATTGCATAACTAAAGTGGAATTAAAACATTAAACCAGATTATGTAGTAGAGTGTGGAATTCCTATCACAGTTTTATTTGAATAACGTGAAGTGAAATCCTCTGCAATTTCGTTATTTTTTTCTTAGTACTTAGGGTTTTGCTTAGGATGATATGGTTTTCTATATTATTATCAATTTTATTTCTTACTAATATATGATGTAGCTTATGTGTTTGTGTAAATCTTTAACTGAAGTGGATTTGTAACCAAATAAAAATACCATCATGATAATCTCAGTTTATATTTCTCTAAGTAGAATACCCAATAAATATAATCCATCATATGATAATAGTTATTTCAATAAATATAACCCAATTCAAAGCAAACAAAAGAGAAAGAAAAAAGAACAATATAAATATTTTTAAAGTAAATAACCCACCTTATGATAATCGTAATCGTAGTCTCAATAAATACAAACCCAATTCAAAGCAAACAAAAGAGATAAAGAAAGAAGAACACTACATTTTTTTTACGGTAAATAATTCACCATATGATAATCCTTTTTTTTTTTTTTTTTGTGCAAATCATATGATAATCCTAATTTCAATAAACATAACCCAATTCAAAGCAAACAAAAGAGACAAAGAAAGAAGAACACTACATATTTTTTAAAGTAAATAATTCACCATGTGAGTCGTAAACCAATATAACCCAATTCAAAGCAAATAAAAGAGATGAAGAAAGAAGAATAATATATATATATATATAAAGCAAATAACCCAATTAATGTATAACAAACCATCTGATTATCACAATCTCAATAAATATAACCCAATTCAAAGTAAACAAAAGAAATAAAGCAAAATGCGAGTTTGTCCCAGATTTCTATGCATAATTTATGTTTATTTAGTATGTTATGACCATATAAATTCTGCAGTCTTTTTTTTTTATTGGCTGAATCCCTATAAAAAGTAAACATTAATTATTTCTTAATCTTTGTGCTTTTACACAAAACATCTTATAAAATGGGACAGAGGGAGTATTTAATATAACATAATATACTCCCTCTGTTTCATAATATATGATGTTTTAGGAAAGTTTTTTTGTTTCAAAATATATGATGTTTAACACTTTTCTATATAATTTTAAATGCATTAGATATTTTATGACCATTTGTATTCTGCAGTGTTAATTATCATTGGTTGAAATTTTTAAAGATAAATATTACTCTTGATTATCACTTTGTTCGTGGGAGTATTCAATCTGGTGCACTACGGGTCTCACATGTATCAACCCAGGATCAATTGGCGGATGCACTCACAAAGCCCTTACCTAGATCGCGGTTTCAAGAGCTCAATGCCAAGATTGAAGTCAAGGAGTAAATGATAAGCTTTTAAGAGAAATTAAATTTTCTTAAAATGTGTACTTTTATTTCAAACCTCCTATAATTTTGAAACAGAGGGAGTAGTTAGGAAGTTTATGAGTAAAAGTTTAATACAAGTAATTTCTTATAACTATAATATTAAATTTTTAATGTCTAGTGAATAAGTGATGAATATATTAAATTAAATCTACTCTTTTTAGGAAAATAATGAACGAAAGGTAAGCAACTAAAACATATCTCCGAATGGTTATTATTTTTATTTTTTTTAAATGTTCTTTGGCCTATAAATAGAGCCACTTTGTTTTCCTTGAAATTCAAACTGATTTCGCCCTCTATCTCTCATATAATCTTCAAACTATTGCTGCCCCAATGCATAGCTCACTGAAAACAACGGCTCCAGCAACGTTGGAACGGCTATGTATTCTCTTATTCTTTCTTTTTTGTGCAACAGGTATTCTCTAATTCCTTCTTGTTTTTTAATTAGTTTCTCTTCACATGATTTACTGCTCATAAAGCTTTAGCAATTAATTTATGTGGTTTCTTCATTGGTTAATGTGTGTTGATTTTTTGGCTGATTTAACATTTTGAAGGGAAACGAAAAGTGTTGGAACTACAGTTTTTTTTCCATCCAATTTTCTGATGGCTCGTAGAATTATATGTTCATAGATTCTATAATTAGGTGCTCGTTATGATTGTATCATGAGATTCAAAATCTCTTATTGCAGCCACCTTGTGGGAGATTTAATGAATTAAGGAAAGAGATCCTACGTTTTTTAAATCTGTTTTATCTTTTGAACATTGGTTTCTATCGCAGTTTTCTAATTTGGATTTTTTCTGTCCTACAAAAATAATCCGTTTTAGTCTGTAAATTGATGATATCAAAATTTAAAAGCGGTTTCTTATTTGCAAGGTTATTTCTAACCTTGTCTCTAACAGGGACTCAAGACGGATCTTTTGAGTTTATTACAGCAAATGCTCACATCCTTAAAAGATTAAATGTTGAAGAGATGAAATGAAAATAAGAGAGAGTTTGTGCCCGGTTAAAATTGTGTGCTTAAGTCAATAAGTAGTCAAAGACAATATATCATGCTTATAGTTTTAATTTATAGTCACTTGTGTTTCTGCATTCTACTAGATTTTTTAGCAGGGCTTGTGTTTATAAACTGTTACAAGGCTCTTGTTTTGTAAACTGTTGAATGTTGATGGAAATATATTTTGAAGGACTTAAGCTTTTATATATAGTTCTTGGAACAGAATCATTGGAGCCATTGCATGAGGATAAACTGATACTGAGAGGGTTGAAATTTTACGGTTTCCATGGAGTGCTTCCAGAAGAGAAGAAATTGGGGGGTCTGTTTACCGTTGACATTGATTTGTGGTTGAGTCTGAAAAAGGCCATTGAGTCAGACAACTTAGCAGATACAGTCAGCTTTGCCGATACTTTCAGGTTTGCATTTAATTACCAATATCACTTAGGTATAATATAATGGACAACAAAATTTAGGATCCAATCCACTCCCAAAATTAATATGAATATCTTAAGATCATGCATGAATATCAGTTATGTAGCCAACCTTTGAATTATGAGTTAGTTTTGTGTTTAAGTTTTATAATTATGATTTATTAATGGTGAAAGAATGGTGTTATTGGCAGCCTAGTGAAGAAAATTGTTGAAGGGCCACCAAAAAACCTTTACGAGACGGTTGCGGATCACATAGCGTCTAAAATGCTTGAAACGTTTCCTAAGATAAACGTTATTCGAGTCAAGTTCGGAAAGCCAAATCCCTCACTAGTTAATAGCACCGTTGATTTCTTAGGTGCCGAGCTTTTCAGGAAGCGAAAGCACTAAAACAAGAAACTGAATAACTCAAAAGCTTTACATCATGTCATCCTTCATGCTCTTTCATAATCATTGTCGTTGTGTTATCGATAAATGTTTACCTTTTCAATCATGGCTATTTTAAAATTTAAAAAATAAAATAAAACATAAGTGTGAAAGTTTGTATTTGGATTTATCTTTTTGCATATTTTGAAGCAGATTTGTATGGGCAATATTATTATGATATATACATTGTTTTCTATTACGTTGGTAACAAAATAATTGAGGAAAGAAGACCATTTAATCTATATATAATAATAGCAAACCCAAATTTTTACTCTCATTTAGTTTTCTCCTAAAGGTAGCTATCTAACGAGTTAAAATCACGACTTATATTTAACAAAAAGTTAATGATTTTACCTTTAACCAAAAAGAAGTTAATGATTTTACAGATAATATGTAATTTTCATCCCCACCAAAAAAAAATATGTAATTTTCATTTCAATTTCTTTTTCCGATATCAATTTTGAAATCAGTTAAAATTTATACATTATACCTAATTATAAACAAAATTTTCCAATATTGAATTATGAAATTAAATCTTGCATTTAACTTAAGATATTGATTGATTATAATGATAATATATCCAACAAATTGTCTTTAACCATATATATTCACAAGTATCAGACACTTTTTGAAGTTTTAAGTTCTCATTTATGACAATTGTAATATTTACATATTTATAAATGTAAATGATTTTTTGCCAAAAATAAAAACTTTGACAAAAAATAGATTATCACTTAATCATAATAAAACAAATTGAAGACCAAAAGTTATATAAACAGAGAAAATCATTAAGATCCGATAAAAAAACCATTTGAATACCTCAATAGCGTTCACAGAAAAAATTACTATGGCTAATACTAAAACCTTGGTGGCTTGTTTCCTTGTAATAATACTTGCAGTTTCGTTGTCTAACAACAACGTTTTGGCTTCAGGTATAATTAAAGTTTGATTTATTTATTTAGAAAATTAGTAGTGATCATTTCAAAAGATATATTTAAATACGTGAAATTTCTAATGACCATGTTTTTGTTTCTATGATATATATATACATACATGCATTCAAAAGTTTTGGTAAAATTCTATTATTTGGGCATGTTATATAACTATATTTTTATTGAAATGTTATATATAAGATTTACACATGTTTGTATCAGTTATGTTTAATATATATGTGGACTTGTATAGATGCAGGGATCGAAAACTTCTCATTTGACAACTGCCACATTAGGTGTTACGGACGGGATGAATGTATGAACTACTGTTTTAAAATTGGATTTAAGAAAGGTGGACAGTGTGGTTCTATTTGTATTACATGTCCTATGAAATGTTGTTGCCAAATGTAATACAAACTTATATACCATCTCTCTCTAAAAAATTTACGATTCTAGCATGGCATTTATATTTTCTAAGTTATTGGACTTAATTTGTATCTTGTTTTTACAAGTAAATGCTATGAAATAAGAAAACTATTTATTGCACTAAGTCATTTTTTTTCTTAAAATCTCTTAATAATAAAATGTGTTGTTTCAAGCCTCTTAGGCCATCCACATCAGCTCTTTCCAAATACATTTTCGTACTGACATGTGGCTCTTATAAACTTCTTCTATGGTTCCTGAAGACGCTCCACTTCATTGTAAAGAATGCAATGATTCATCTTCCTCCAAATCTTCGGATCATCTATTATACAGCATTACTCCTGAAATCAAACTCACTCACAAACGCCACTTCCCTCCTCTGCAATCGATCTCTCTATTTCCTTATACATCTACGCCAATTCTCTTCATATTCTTCGGAATCGATCACTTTTAATCATACATAAAATAGGCATAATAATGATATTTCAACACTAACTCTTTTTATAACCTCTCAGTAGCAATAATTAACTCAATATTATCATATTATTATAGTATATTTTGAAGATTAATATGAAAATGGAGAGATTTAGCTAAAGTTACAATTTAATATAGAAACAAAAAAATTATCATTTAAAAAATAATTTTTGATTGGTGACTTTAAATCAATAACTAAGAGCGAATCCGCGCTATACTTGTTGACATATAGACGTAGTGTTATTACATAGATTTGATCATTCTTGTAGTTTAAAAAGGAGAATAGTGTAAGAATAAAGCGTCTAAGTTAAAAATTTGAATTAGTTAATATTTAAAATAATTTAATTTGTGAAAATAATTTGTATGTAACATAGTGAAAACGTGATTTATTTATATAACTTCTTACAGTTTTAATTTTGGACGAAAATATGGTTTTTTTTTTCTAGTTTGAAATAGTTCTATATTGGGTTTTGGTTGAAATAGGTAATAAAAGAAAATATGATGAATATCGGTGATACATTGCAGGATAATTATTTTTACATATAATAAGGTTAGATTTTTAAAGTTTTTTAGTTTAGTATTAAATTATATGATTCAATTTTTTTATTGTTTTTCATATCTAACATGTGTTACATGTGTAATTTATTAATTTAGTATTGCAATTACATATTTAGAGGTGTCAAAAAAAGATTAATTATTCCATTAAACTCATCTTACATTGATTAAAGAAAATTCTAAGTTAGGGTCAATGTCGACTAAAAAAAATTACAATTTAAATGTTTGACTTATTTGATGTATTTATAATTAAAGTTGTGTTTGTTTATAATTTGAGAATAGAAATTATTTGTTGTATTGTAATAATTAATTATTATGTTTATAGATTCTATGGTTCTTACACTCTTTATCTGATATTTTAAATATTAATTCGAGGTATATATGATATCCCAAAACTTTATAATTTAAATAGTAATTAAATTTATTTAATTAGTTTAATTTTTTTTAAAACTTGTATACGGTTTAGACAGTGTGAGAGACTATAAAAGCAAAGTCAATATTCGGATAAACCGTAAACGAGAAATTACGTACTCTTCCCTATTAATATACCTGAACTGTCAATCATATATAACAATGTCAAAAGATTTGCCTATAGAGTGCTTAATTTTGAAAAAATTTAAAATACTTCATTCATAGTGATAATAACGCATATGAAATTGTTTCTTAATCTCACAAAGTTTTTGAATCGATGTGTTGAATGAATTTCGCATGAGGTTCCTCGGATGTGTTATTGAGCTACATCATTGGGAATTCTAATAGAGCACAAAGCCCATCCTATGGCACACGTTCCAATGTCCAAGTTTCAATAGAAATATTATCTGTTTAAATATTTTAATACCGTTTCCCATTGGAATCTCAAACAATAAGTTCGAAAAAAAATTATCTGTTTAAAGTGACGTAATTCTCGCCACGTTCTTGTAGCTTCCTTATTTCATCAACGAGCTAAGCAAGTAGCGTCCTCTTTTGTCGGTTTTCTCGTGACAACTTCACTTCCTATACATTTACATTCACCGTGTTGGTATGCTTTGAATCGTCTAATGACATTATTTGCAGTAATAAAAAATCTTGGTATAAACATCATTTTCTTGTTTTTATCAAACAAAAAAAGAAAAACATCATTTTCTTGTTTGAGCCTAGGTTTGTAGTTTATGATCATTCCTATATGGATTGCAATTTTAGTTTAAAGTTTCTATTTGTGTTCAGGTTTGTCACACAAATTAGTTTAAAACTAAATTAAGGTGAACATATATACCATCGTATTGTGAACCATCTGTTTTTTAGTTTTTAGGTTCCAATGCAATATCGTTCTCTTTTGCATGTGGACGTACGTAGACAACATGACGTTTGTAAATCACGTAAATTTGTATTTGTTTTGTGTGTGTCTATTTGGTTTTATATCCGTAACAATAGATAGTTTAAAAAGAAAATTTATATTTTTTTAAAAAAAATTATACGTTGTGAGAGAAAATTTTAATATATGATCATGTAATTATTTTATTTGCAGTTAATTGATTGATATATTACACAAAATTCACATTCAAAAGGAAGGAACATTTATTTTACTAATATTTAAATACTCTACTAGCATACTAGTAGCAGCACATTGATTTGGGAAAAAATAAACATTGTTTTGGTTTATGACCTATAAAAATATTTTTATTTTATTTTATTATAAATGGTGAATTTATCATTTATTATCTAAATATACACAATGGACGATTCTACAAAAACTATTCCATAACAAATAAAAAATCTACATACGCCATCAAAAATATATGATAAATGGCTCTATTAATTATGATGGAAGACTTTAGTTATGATATACAAAACCATGATGAAAAGTTCTAAAAAGCACCATGATAATCTCTAATAAATTTGTTTACACTAATCTACAATAATTCCCATTGCGTGGGAATCAAATTCCATACCTAGAGGTAGTAAACCAAACCAAAAAAAGAAAAAGCTTCCGAGAAAGAAAAAAACAAAATTTTTAGGCGTTAAAAGAAAACAAGATAAAATAAAAGAACAAGGAAACCGACAGCAACAGAATGGAAAGATAGGATTACCAAGTCGTATGCAATCTGCGACTCAATTCAAAGCAAGATAGGGTTTATCTATATTCCTCGGGAAACAAACTGTTTATTTTAAAATTTATTCAGTGTTCAAATACGATTTTAAAACTTTACCCACAAAAATAATCACCAAATTAAATACATGGTTGACCGAAAAAAATTACCAACACGTAAAATTTTAAATGATTTATTGAAATTTATAAACATCAATATCAAATTTTAAACGAAGGGAAATAATTTCGGTTTAATTTCGAAAGTAGTTCAAGATCACTATTAATTAATTTTCTATAAAACCAGTTGTAAGTAAAGTAGCAGGCTACCGGTAATGAGAAGTGGTAGCGATCTTAAGTACATTTCCTTGTAAAAGTTATTTCACTTTGAAGTTGCTGATCATATAAATGAATGATTGAATCTGTATGATAAGTTAAATGTATATCAATTGTCTTTCAAATAAAATGTATAATGCTATTGCTCTTACTCTTAAGTATAATGTCCATCAATATATAGTTGCAGATTATGCCACAATTGATCTACATTTTGCAGGTTTAATACAGTATAATGTTCAAACGTGTGAGGTTGGTAGGATGACACACAATAAATTTGTGTTCTTTCTTAATTGCACCCACTTCATTTCTATTAGAGCCCAGCCTATATATTATATACCCATTCGAGACTACACACTTAAACCGATTCATTATATGGCTTAATTTAAGTAATAGATCCTAGGCCATGCATGCTCACATGGACCGGCACATATATCTAACTGTATTTATTATAAACCGTAGCACAAATCCTTGTGCAACTCTTTAGTTGTTCGAACCATTCTATATGCATCAATTTTTTTCTTAATGAAATCAAAAGAAGGAGACAATGAAGGATGTCAAATGGTAATTCGTTTCTGCCATAACGCCCATACGTGTCACAATCATTTACGTTTAGAAAAATATAATTTAGTCCAACTTGGAAAAAAGGTATATACATCAGCACAAGTAGTTCTTTTTATATAATATATATATATATATATAAAAACAAGTAGTATTTTGATAAGAAAGAAATTTTAAATATTTTAATCTAATACTTCATAAGAAAGCAATATTTTCCCAATGCAGAAATTAGTATATAAGGAGATGATAGGCAAGAAGAGCAACATGCTTGAAGCTTCTCAAGTTTATAGGTCCTTACAAAGCAAAATCATTTCCAATTCATAAAAAGTTAAAGCCATGGCTGCATCTTTCTCTGTCCCCTCTATGGTAAGTGAACTACCCATAAGTCTCTTTTTAGCTATTTGATTATGTTGAATTCAAAAAATTATTTCACCACTAATTAGGACTAACATGCAAATTGATGATCAAAAAACAAATCAGATAATGGAAGAAGAAGGGAGATTCGAGGCGGAGGTTGCGGAAGTGCAGACTTGGTGGGCCTCAGAGAGGTTCAAGCTAACAAGGCGTCCTTACACTGCCCGTGACGTGGTGGCTCTACGTGGCCATCTCAAGCAAGGCTACGCTTCGAACGAGATGGCTAAGAAGCTGTGGCGAACGCTCAAAAGTCACCAAGCCAACGGCACGGCCTCTCGCACGTTTGGTGCGTTGGACCCTGTTCAGGTGACCATGATGGCTAAACATTTGGACACCATCTACGTCTCTGGTTGGCAGTGCTCGTCAACTCACACCTCCACTAACGAGCCTGGTCCTGATCTTGCTGACTATCCATACGACACCGTTCCTAACAAGGTTGAACACTTATTCTTCGCTCAGCAGTACCATGACAGGTAAAATTTACTTACTACTAATAATTAATGAATTATTGAATTAAAAGTACATTAAGGTTATTGATAATTTTGCCTATTAGTCGAAAGTAGATATTGGCTGCTTATTAGGATAATTAGTTTGGTGCTTAAAAAATAGTAGTATCAAGACCTCGTGCAACAAAAATTGAAAAGAAATTATATTATTTGTTGTTACGAAATTGCTTCTTTCGAGGTCTTATGTTGCTACGTGTTCATAATAATATAATGGTTG